TCAATCTCGTAAACAATTCCCTTTGTCAATAGGTATGTTACTTGCCCGAGATTCAATTGTCGGTATCCCAATACCTCGTTCAATCTCGTTGCCGGCAAGTCACTTTACTCGTTCCGTAATGCACGATCCCGTGACTAACTACTTAGTCACATTGAGCTCATTATGATGATGCATTACCGAGTGGGCCCAGAGATACCTCTCCGTCATACGGAGTGACAAATCCCAGTCTCGATTCGCGCCAACCCAACAGACACTTTCGGATATACCTGTAGTGCACCTTTATAGCCACCCAGTTACGTTGTGACGTTTGGTACACCCAAAGAATTCCTACGGTATCCGGGAGTTGCACAATCTCATGGTCTAAGGAAATGATACTTGACATTAGAAAAGCTCTTAGCAAACGAACTACACGATCTTGTGCTATGCTTAGGATTGGGTCTTGTCCATCACATCGTTATCCTAATGATGTGATCCCGTTATCAATGACATCCAATGTCCATGGTCAGGAAACCATAACCATCTATTGATCAACGAGCTAGTCAACTAGAGGCTCACTAGGGACATGTTGTGGTCTATGTATTCAGACATGTATTATGGTTTCCATTTAATACAATTATAGCATGAAGAATAGACAATTATCATGAACAAGGAAATACAATAATAACCATTTTATTATTGCCTCTAGGGCATATTTCCAACACTTCAAGCATGATCTCATCGTGATACTCCACTTGAACTTGAGCACCGCAACCTTGATGACGATCTCCACTTGATTTCATCCTCCATGGGTTTGTATGAGATCTTCCTCTTGACGCAAGCCCATGGAAACATACCTAACCCCACATAGGACTTTCAGGTAGACCATGGGTTAGTATACAAAGCGTAATGGACAATGCTTACCATACCATGGGATCACTTGATCCCTTTCAGTACATCTTGTACACTTTGTGTGTTGATCAACTTGATTCACTCTTTGACTTAGTCTTGATCAACCTTGTAATGTCTTCTCTATGACCAATCTTTGGATAATTCCTTGAATAGCACCTTGGTCAACACATAAACTCCTTAAAACCAACAAATGGACTTCAAGAAAAGACTATGGACAAATCCTACGTATATAACTCAAGGAAACCATTAGTCCATAGAGATTGTCATCAATTACCAAAACCAAAAATGGAGGCACCACATGTTCTTTCAGGAAGCATTTCAAACTTTGAAGCATGCTCTGGTTCAAGCACCAGAGTTGGCACTGCTTGACTTCAGTCAAGAGTTCATTTGCGACTTATGCCAGTGCACTAGGTGTGGGGGCTAGGCTCATGTAGAAAGGCCACTCTCTAGCCTTCTTCAGTAAGGCCCCAGGTCCTAAAAATAGACACTATCAACATATGAAAAATAATGTCTCGCAATAATCCTAGCAATTGAGAAATGGAAAACCTACTTACAACACAGACCTTTCACTGTTCACACAGAGCAACCGAGTTTGGTGCATTTGGAGACCACAAGTTCAATACTGCCGTTCAACAAAAGGCATTTTTCAAGTTAATGGGACTGCAATACAAAACCATGTATAAGAGGGGAGCTCACAACAAATCTGATGATGCTTTATCCAGAAGAGAGCATGTAGAGGAGTTGCGGGCCATCAATGTTGTGTAGCCTAAATGGTTGGAAACAATTGTGGAGGGATTACTAGAAAGATGACAAAGCACTAAAACTATTGACAGAACTCAGCATCCACAATTCAAATGACCAGGGTTTGAACTTGTGGTTATGGTAATCAAACACAAAGGCAAAGCTTGGCTTGGAAATCACATTAAAGCTCACCAGGCTGAGCCGATATGATAGGCGGGCGAAGTGAGCGAGACTAAGACGGGCCAGACATGGAGTGGCGAAGGGGGCCTACTATATGTATACGTGATTAGTAAGCGGTTCAAGACATCAAACAAAAAATCAAGTGAACTAATGAATAGTGTGATTGATCAGACAAGTATCGAGGAGCAAGAAAACGTATACGCTTTAGCAAGGGATGAGCGCGAAATCCTTTCCTATTGGAACTACATAATAGTTCTCTAGGGGGGCACTCGTGGTTCTTGGCAACATATCACAGAATTAAGGCCCCGTTCTCTTGGCCCAACATGAAAAGTGGCATCTAGAAGTATGCCCAAGAGTGCACAACCTGCCAACAAGCAAAAAGTGAGCACACCAAAACACCAGGGCTATTGCAACCAGAAAAATCCCTCAGAAGCTTGGCACACTGTCAGTTCGGATTTTATCGAAGGACTGCCCAAATCAGGCAAGTATGATACCATAATGGTAGTGGTGGACAAATTTTCCAAAGTGGGGCATTTCATTCCACTTAAGTAGCCATTCACTACTGCATTTGTAGCGCAGTTGTTCATCGATCAACTATATAGGCTACACGACCTACCAGAAGTGCTGATCACATATAGGGACAAGGTGTTCATCAGTGCATTTTGGCGGCAAATGTTCAATCTGGCAGATACAACCCTCAACCTCAGCTCATCGTATCACCCCCAGACTGACAGGCAAATCAAGTGTCTGTTTGGAAACATACCTACGGTGCATGGTACATGCAAAACCACGATAATGGTCAATGGCTAGCGCAAGCTGAGCAATGGTACAATACGACATTTCATTCAGCTCAGGGCAGGTCGACGTTTGAGGTACAGTATGGGCGTCGCCCAAAATAGATTGGCATCCCAACTCCACCGACAAACAGCACAGCAGAACTGGCATAGTGGCTGCAGGAAAGGGCCATTCTTCTTCCATTGCGCAGGCAACATTTTGGTGTGCGTATTAGCGCATGACCAACCAAGCAAACAAGAAAAGACCGGAACATAGTTTTGAAGTTGGGGACTACGTCTATCTTAGACTGTAGCCATATGTGCAGCAGTCGCTAGAGCTGCGCAGTTGCCAAAAGCTAGCGTTCAGGTATTTTCGGCCATATAAAATCCTGAAGCGAGTGGGAAACGTCGCCTACAAACGGTGCTTGCTGGAGTCCTCTAGAGTTCATCTGGTGGTGCATGTTTCACTGCTGAAGAAAGCTCTATGTCCCATTGACCGGGTATCAGAAACACTCCCTATAACCGCTCCAACTGATCAAAGGCAGATTCAACCAAGTGAGGTGTTCGCGGAGCGCCTCATCATACAACAAGGAGGCAAGCTAGGAAGTCAAGTTCAAGTCAAATGGGATGGGCTGCCAGACGAGTGTAAGACCTGGGAAGAAGCGTTCGCCATTGTTGCCACCTTTCCACACACATCAGCTTCGAGGCAAGTGGTGCCTCGAGGAGGAGGCATTGTCACGCCAGTGCACCTACCTAATGCCATCAAGGTAAATAGGAGAACGGAGGAGCGACAAAGGAAGCGCGAGGCCCCTCAAAATGTCGCGTCAGCAATCCCCTCCATTTCCGGCATGATGCCGTGAACCACAGAACGGACAAGTCCGGACAAGTTCCCGACGAGCGAGGGGGTAAAATCATGCTCTTAACCGGTCAATACTGATTGTTGCTTTTATTTTCGGAAAGTAGTTCTGGTGTGTGATCGAGTGAGGATCGTGACAGAACGGACACGCTCCCAGCAAATGAGGGCCTAAAATCATGCTCATGTACAATGGTTGATAAGACGGTCTTATCTTAAATCTTGCATGTAATTTAGAGATGACAAAAAAACATGTCTACAATGGGTCATCTCTTAGCCTTATCTTCAATAACTAGTTATTCCTAAAAACATGGTGAGACATATTGTGCTAAGAGATCATCTCTTGCCTTTTCTTAATTAAGAGAAGACAAGCCTTCTCTTATGATTTCTCTCTCCTCCACCTCATCATTTATCCTACGTGGCATTGCTAAGATAGAACCATTGTACATGCCCTGACCGGTCAATGCTGATTGTTGCTCCTTTTTTTTGGAAAGTAATCTTCAAGAAAATGACTGACGAGTCAGCCCAAAATAATCCAGCCAGTACAGTAGAGATGCACATATTCAGCAAGGATCAAGTCCACTTATGACCGATGACGTGCGTACGTACGTGGCTGCCAGAAGACCACTTGAGATCACCTCGTTTCTCATGGAAACAGAGCATGGCCATCCTTGCGAGAAGTAGAGCGACCAGGATCGAATGACACCTGTTCGGGCGGAAATGAGTTTGATGACCCATACGAGATTTTGTTAAGAGTATCGTAGTGCCGGGTAGATAGAGGTAGAGGCCCTCCTGATGCGGGCGTGTAACCGCGCGGCGCCATGTGATGGTGGTGGTGCTGCTGAAGAAGAAGAAAGAGGGTGGGGGGAAGGAATCGCGGCAGGGCAGCTGTAACTGCTGGCCAACGCAGGAGCCACTCTTCTCACCAAACCAAGCTAAATCTCGCCACCGTCCGCCAAGAGGTCAACGCCTCCCGATCCGGTGCCGAGCCTGTCGCAGGTGAGGTGCATCGAATTTGCGTGCGTACCCCAAATTCCAGCGGACGGAGGGAGACGGATGGGTACACGAGCCACGCACGCGCGTGCGTGCGTGCAGCTGCGCGTCGTTGGGGAGACAGTTGGGCGTCGCCCCGCCCCGGCCGCAGCTGCCAACTACCCGGCACCTGACCCTCTTCCCCCCTTCCCTTGCCTTCCCCAGCCAAGCCAAGTCCGTTGCGTCCTCCCTCATCTTTCGCTCCTGAGACCACCACCGGAGGGGAGGGGAGGGGAGCGCAGGCAGAGCACGCACCCACACCACACGCCCTTTGGATGCGGCTGACCCTCCCCGGCCCGGCTGACCCACCACCACCAGCGTTCCTCTTCCGTCCCCGACTCGGACACCCCCTGCTCGCTACAACTCCTACGCCGGCTCCAGCTCCCTCCCCTTTATATACCCACCGTCTCCCTCTCCTCCTCGCATCACCAGTAAAGCAGTAAGTAATTCCACTTCCGCCGCCACCTCCCTCTACCCCGGCGCTTTCTTGGACGTCGCAGGCACGTACAAGCAAAAGCAACCAGGAACCAGCCATGTGCCCTGGGGCGCCGGTCGCGGCGGCGGCGTCGGACAAGAGCGTGTGCGTGATGGACGCGTCCGGCCCGCTGGGCCACGCGCTCGTGCACCGCCTCCTCCGCCGGGGCTATACCGTCCACGCCGCCACCTACGACCACTCGCTCGACGAGCTGCTCGCCGCCGCCGGCCACGACGAGGACCGGCTCAAGCTCTTCCGCGCCGACCCCTTCGACTACCACACCATCGCCGACGCTGTCCGTGGCTGCTCCGGCCTCTTCTGCATGTTCAACACCCACGAGGACCAGGCCGGCTGCGACGTGAGTTGATCCAATCACCAATCCTTCCTTTCCTCCCTCGCCAGCCATTACTACTAAATTAGTAGCAGTAGTTTCGTTTCAAGAAAGAATCATGGATGGATGGATTCGATCCTCATCGTGCCGTCACATCGGGTTGCTTGATCCCCATTCTCTTCTTTACCCCCGCAAGAATCTAATCTATTCCCGATCGCCGGATCGGCCAGCCATGTTGCAGTGGCTAATTGGTTGGATAAGAATTCAGAGAAAACACTGGCGCTAGTGCCGTACCACTGCGACAGTACAGTACAGCTAGTCGTTGAGCATCTACTACCATTTCTTTCTTTCTCCTTGGCGTGAGCTGGGCCTTAATGGCACAGCTCATCTGCTTCCTCTCGCTGCTCCCTCCACCACTGGTACTACTCCAGTGCAGCATTAACTGTGCTCCAAACCTCTGGCAGAAGCCGCTAGGCCTTTCCCGCGCCGCGTGCATTAACGCCTCCGAATGGAGGCTTCACCACACACACACAGCTGGTTCTAATCAAGGCTGCGCCTGCCGCTAATTGATTAATTATAGTATTAATCTGAGTGGCTGATGGTGGTGCAGGAGTTGATGGTGGAGGTGGAGGTCCGGGCGGCGCAGAACGTGCTGGAGGCGTGCGCGCAGACGGTGACCATGGAGCGGGTGGTCTTCACCTCCTCCGTCACCGCCGTCGTCTGGAAGGACGACGACCACAAGCCCGTCGACGCCTTCGACGAGAGGAACTGGAGCGACCTCAACCTCTGCAGGAAACGCAAGGTAATCAAATCAATCAAGCGCCCATCGCCCACTCATTCATTCATACGCGAGCACCGCAGCTTCTTTCTTTTGGGGCAAGTACTGAGACAGTCTTGTTGCGAGACCCAGCAAAGCACTTGAGCACGAAAAGCAGGAGAGCTGCTTGCCTGTCCTGTTACGAATCCAACAACTAGCGAGACAATCTTGTTGTGAAACCCAGCACGGAAAGAAAGCGGGCCACCAGACCCCAAGAAAGCAACGCGGCAGTCCCGTCGCTCTTGGCGTTAATTATCCGTGGGGTGGTAAGAGCCTACGTGTCAATACAAGCGCCTACGTGTCAAACTCAAACCCAATAAGTGGATGAGACTAGTAAGAACTGGCTTCCCAACTGTGAAGATTAAGACACAGAAAGAGAGCTACAAATAATCTAGTCGTCCCCCGCAAGAAAACAAATACTGATGCACTCTACTACACATCCTAGTCCACACAAAGATCATCCTTGCTTTGCTTACTTGATTATTATATATAGATGCTAATTAAGAAGGTGGACAATCGCACTTTTAACTTGCTGCAGCTACTTATTTGTTTTCCTTTGAACTGAGAACTGGTCGTTCAAAAAAAAAACACTGAGAACTAGTCCTCTGTTTCTGAATTCTGATGGGAAGCACTGTCCTACTTGTTGTGGCCATCCACTACAGCGGCCCCATGTTCCCGACATGTTTGCCAAAATGCCAAACGCAAGCTACCAGCGTCTCCTCGTGCAGCTGTCACCAAAGTTGCATGTGCAAGCTTGGAACAATGCTTTCGCAACACACACACCCTTTAGGACACCGCAATTAATTGACATTGATAGTGGTAGTTTGTTTTACTTACTGTTACTGTGGTTGGTACAGTTGTGGCACGCTCTGGCCAAGACGCTGTCGGAGAAGACGGCCTGGGCCTTGGCCATGGACAGAGGGGTGGACATGGTGGCCATCAACGCCGGCTTGCTCACGGGGCCGGGGCTCTCCTCCGCCCACCCCTGCCTCAAGGGGGTCCCGGAGATGTACGAGCACGGCGTCCTCGTTACCGTCGACGCCGACTTCCTAGCCGACGCCCACGTGGCCGCCTACGAGTGCCCCACGGCGTTCGGCCGCTACCTCTGCTTCAACAACGTCGTGTGCCGGCCCGAGGACGCCCTCCAGTTTGCCCAGATGCTCACCCCGTCCGCTCCATGCTACCCGCCAAGGTACACACGCGTTAATGAACTTCAGCATTTCACCTCGAAAATTCTAAGACAATCCAGTGATTATGGTGTGTTCCTGTAACTGACTGACCTGTGATGAACTTTGGTTGCAGTGACGAGCTGAAGGTTATCCCGCAGAGGATTCAGAACAAGAAGCTGAACAACCTCATGGTGGAGTTTGCCAGTGCCATATACGGGGACTTGGATTAGGGATTCCATTATTTATTCGTTTACCTCACAAGGGCAGCTAGGGTTGTATTCTTTATGTACCTATAAATATCTGTATTCTTTTTCTCCTGAAAAGGGAAATATGGTTGGTCAGATGTACAAATCTGTACAAGGCCAAGCATGCCGCATGTATTCCACTCTTACCGGGCTGGCAAGAGCATTTGAGCCAGTGCTTAGCAAGGTAGTAATCCTTAGGTCCACCAAAAGGGAAAATAAGTCTGCAGTTTTGTTACTGCCTTGTACAGCAGCAATATATGAATATGATGAACAAATGTCAAAAGTTTCAAGGAGTGAGATAGATATGAGTTGTGTATACATTAACCATATGAAACTGAAACTTTTGAAAAATTTGGACCATGTTCAGTAAACCACCAACACCCGGAATCTGCGGAGCGGGGAAACTGCAGCTCCGCCAGCTCCGGGAGCGGAGTTGTGGAGCGGAGCAACACCGAACAGGGCCTTAGTGTACATGGTTCCACAAACAACGTCAAATAAACAAGTGATCAAAATCATCTGACAACTACATATTCATCTGACAAGAAACCATCCTAAATTGCATACACAGAACTCTCATTCGACAAAGCTCATACTTAACATTCACAGCATCACCATTTATGGTGGGCCATACAATGGCGGTACATCGACCGGCGCCCGCCACCGTCGAGTGAAGCATGCAGAGCATCATTGCATACGTCATACTACTCGACACACAAAGAAGCGTTCCAGATCCATCTTGCCTTTCCGCCAGGTGGCTCCACAGAAAACGACAGCTCAATCCTAGGCTCCAAGGCACCCATAGATAGGAAGAGAGCAAAAGGGAGTGGACCAACCATCCTTCACCAGCAATACTGTTGAGGGATTGGGATTCAGCTGCAGACTTGCAGTCTACACACACTCACCTGAATCTCAACAAGAAACCTATTCCATTATTCATTCATGTAATTCATGTTCAGTTACATCTTGACTTGAAAATAGGGATGGATGTACAGAGGCAAAAGAAACACATCTCCTCTGAGGGAGCCAGAAAGTTCGGAAACTGTAGCACACCCTAGATACTGCGCGTGAAGTTCCTACTTACTAGGCGCTCAGTGTCACGGAAGCAACACTCGACAGCTTGAATTTCCGGACTTTTTTGGAGTGCAACGGCTGGAAATGAATCTCGGTGTACTGCTTCACGGAGATCTCTTTCCATTCTGAAGATGAAGTGCCCTCAGCTCGGTAATCTCGAGGAGAATACAATATTTGGACTCGAGACCTTCCTGCATTTGCGCAAGGGACAAACCAAATCAAACAGATGTGGCTCATTCAAATTGATTACAGCATTTTAGCCAGCAGATTTAACAGAAAAAACAAGCCATGCTAGTTATTTTGGGTACGGATTCTGTTAACTGATTAAATCAATGTAGTGAAGCAAAATAGAGAATTAAAACTCCTTGTGGTTGGTGCTTAAATAGCATCTTCGAAGAGGATAATTTGATCAGGTGATGTTGGAAGGGCGATGAACATTAAGCAATGAAAATAAATGCAACTAAGACAACTCATTATATCTTCTATACATATCCATTAGGAAAGTATGTCTAGTGTGAAATTATGTGTTCTTTTAATCATGTTCAAACGCCAGACAATGCTCAACAATGCTTGGGTGAGTGGTCAAACAAGTTCGATAAAAGTAACAATGGTGCCTCTTTTTCCAAAGCCATTCTTATCTGATCCTTCCAAAGTAATTATCTCAATCTGCTGTTGGCCCGATTTTGGGGGCTTATTACAGAAAGAATAAGGGCGTCTGGTGTTGCATGAAGGTGCTGTGAGTATCAAGAAGGTGGCCAATGGGATAATTAACAAGGGCCAAGACGAATGATGACTTTGAAGAGACTGTCGATGTTTCTCTTAATTATCTGATGAAACCCACCCATGGGTGCTGGCAGGGTGTTGCAATAAGCCAATAACCAAATGTGAGGTCTTCTTTTGTGCTGCAGCTAGGGGGTCTTGTAAATTTGTACTCCCTCTGTAAAGAAACATAAGAGTGTTTAGATCACTACTTTAGTGATCTAAACACTCTTATTTATTTTTTACAGAGGGAGTAATATACTAGCATAGTATTGCAATTTTTGTTATGATGCTGTCGTGAACCTCGATTCACAACAGGATAACTACCGTGCTTAAGATAGCTTAGATGGCATGGCTCCAGCCTTCAGGGGATTGGTTGGAACATAGATCGAGATGAGAATGTTTAGAAGAATAGATTGTTTTCTTGCATGATTCATTAATGAGATACATAGCATCCTTATATAGTGGTGCATATCCCTTGGGCCTTCCCTAATACAATACAGATCCCTTAACAGATTAGGGTCACTTTATCTTGGTCTTCCTAATAAAGCACTAATTCCTAAATGGAACCTGATCTCCCTCTATTTGGCCACCCTGCTGCTAGTCCAAGACCCTTTTGTCAAATGCTAGTCACATTGTGGGTATTTAGCAGCCTGGGCGGATTAGCTGTTTAATTTATTTTTTCTTGTGAACTCATCTAGCATGTTTAGTTCCCTTTTCTAAGAGAAGGAATTTTTACCTTCTGCTCGATTGACCATATCACTAGAGCTTTCTTATAAAATAAATTCCTGTACAGTACCAGGATGAACGTAGCCATAACATCTACAGGCCTTTCATGCATCTATTTTCATTTCATGCATCGATCTAGTATTAGGCATTAGTATAGATGCCAAAACTACTTGAAGCACAACCGTTTCCCTGCCAACCTAGAGCAATAACAAATCACAGTACAAAATATGCTAACATGGGGAGTACAAAACAGAATAGCAAGAAGACACAGTACACAGGGCTTACCAAAACCTCCAAAAAGAGTTGATTTCTGGATGACAAATCGGCTAACTTTTGATCTCTTCACTTTTTTCAGGAGTGGCATGTCTTCATTCTTGCCTTTAAATTCCATGAATTCACCAAGGACATTTTTGTCCCCTCTGAGTTCCAGCCTAGAAAAGGGCAGTGCAACTATAAAAATATAACCAGAGGTTCTATGTGCTCGTGTTGCACTGAACTGCAATATAGTACTCTCTCTGTCCCGTAATATAAGAACGTTTTTCAAGTATGTTAGCTTGAAAAACGTTCTTATATTATGGGACGGAGGGAGTACATACTAACAATATTTACTGATTGCAATTAGCTAAATAAAAGAATAATCTGAAGGCTGCTTCTTAACAACCCAAATTTCTCCAACCAAAATACGAATGGCATGAGATCTTTTTTTCTCATGATGGCATGGGACAGGGAGCAAAAGAAGGATTTGCATATGGTGTTCATTGACTTGGAGAAGGCCTATGATAAGATACCGAGGAATGTCATGTGGTGGGCCTTGGAGAAACACAAAGTCCCAGCAAAGTACCTTACCCTCATCAAGGACATGTACGATAATGTTGTGACAAGTGTTCGAACAAGTGATGTCGACACTGATGACTTCCCAATTAAGATAGGACTACATCAGGGGTCAGCTTTGAGCCCTTATCTTTTTGCCTTGGTGATGGATGAGGTCACAAGGGATATCAAGGAGATATCCCATGGTGTATGCTCTTTGCGGATGATGTGGTGTTAGTTGACGATAGTCGGACGGGGGTAAATAGGAAGTTAGAGTTATGGAGACAAACCTTGGAATCGAAAGGGTTTAGGCTTAGTAGAACTAAAACCGAGTACATGATGTGCGGTTTCAGTACTACTAGGTGTGAGGAGGAGGAGGTTAGCCTTGATGGGCAGGTGGTACCTCAGAAGGACACCTTTCGATATTTGGGGTCAATGCTGCAGGAGGATGGGGGTATTGATGAAGATGTGAACCATCGAATCAAAGCCGGATGGATGAAGTGGCGCCAAGCTTCTGGCATTCTCTGTGACAAGAGAGTGCCACAAAAGCTAAAAGGCAAGTTCTACATGACGGTTGTTCGACCCGCAATGTTGTATGGCGCTGAGTGTTGACCGACTAAAAGGCAACATGTTCAACAGTTAGGCGTGGCGGAGATGCGTATGTTGAGATGGGTGTGTGGCCACACGAGGAAGAATAGAGTCCGGAATGATGATATACGAGATAGAGTTGGGGTAGCACCAATTGAAGAGAAGCTTGTCCAACATCGTCTGAGATGGTTTGGGCATATTCAGCGCAGGCCTCCAGAAGCTCCAGTGCATACCGGACGGCTAAAGCATGCAGAGAATGTCAAGAGAGGTCGGGGTAGACCGAATTTGACATGGGAGGAGTCTGTTAAGAGAGACCTGGAGGATTGGAGTATCACCAAAGAACTAGCTATGGACAGGGGTGCGTGGAAGCTTGCTATCCATGTGCCAGAGCCATGTTTGGTCGCGAGATCTTATGGGTTTCACCTCTAGCCTACCCCAACTTGTTTGGGACTAAAGGCTCTGTTGTTGTTGTTGTTGTTGTATATCCCTGCCCGTCCCTCCCTAATGCACCAGGAAAGACAATCGGAAGAATAAGGGCAATGGAAAGTTTAGAAGTAAATAAAAACATTACGGTGGTGTATTTTACCTGTCCCACATAGGCGACGTGCTGAGAATAGAATACAGATTTTGGAGTAATGAATCTTGGATGTCGCTTTTGTTTCCATGAAATGCACCTTTAATCCATGTCGAAAGTCCACCTTTTGTATCTGCCTTAAGATCTTTCCATTGATCGTACGAGATAACCTCCGGTTGAAGATTAATAGTGTACGAAGGCCTGATAAAGCACAAGACAACTGAGCAACCATCTAAGGGCAGCGAAGCAAAAAAAGAAAAGAAAAAAGAAGTCATGTACAGAGCACTAACCTGCAGTTGGGATTTGGCAGTACAACTCTCCCGTTTACAATCCCGTTAGGCAGTGTTGCTCCCCTCTGCTCCAAGTATGATTGAAGATTGGCAGCTATCCTGCTGACTTCTAGTACCTATGAAAACAAAATTCAACAAATGAATTGACAATAATACAACTCGTA